GAAGCTTCGTAGAGACACGGCTTACGTACGTCCACACGTTATAATAAACGCGTAATCAGCGCGCAACGCTTTGTACAATTCGCAACAATTTCAGTTCGTTTCGTCTCGTATCGTGACTCTTCGCAGCTGGTTGGGATGTTGTACACCTGAAACGCATAATTGTTGTTTAGCTCGCGCGAAAATTTTTATCACGCGCCGGGAGACTTCGCACCGATAATAAAGTACATATTTCGTAGCAACTCCGGTCCATTTCCGCTGTAAATTAAAATTTCGTTCATATGAAATGACTAACTCATAATTTTTTTTATATATATTTTATTTTTTTTTAGATATTATATATACATTACAGATGCAAAATAATGTATTTTTAAAGGTTTAAATGATTTCTTATAAAATACATGAACAAAAGTTTGTGTAATGGTCACTTTAATGTCTCTGATGAAAACTCTATGCTTCAGTCCTTGGTAGTTTGTGTTGAGACGATACCGAAAGTAAGCATTGAAACTCTGATTAAATTTAGTGCGAAATTTAGCCAGAAATATATCTTTTAGAAAATGTTTCACGCTGGAGATATTCACGTTGAACTATTTATAGGAATAACAATATTGAAAAGTTATTTCTGTGAGACGCGAATGTGACTCCAATTTGACGAGGTATGAACAAGGCTGGAAAATGCTGATAAACAAATTTGCAGACATTTCTTTTAAAACATGAATATATATTAGAGACATATCGCTAACATCAATGAGAAACGATCGCGATATCATGGTTTTTCTCTTGGTATTGAGTGACTGACACGTTGTAATTGAACGTGTGTTGCAGCATGACAAATTGCAACGTTATTTAATTACGCGGAACAATATTAATCAGTTGTGAATTTTTACGTAAACTCCGCGCGAAAAATGTCGCGTTGTTTCGCATCGCGATTGCTAATAATTTAAAGCACTGTTATATAATGCCGTACTATTAATTTATTTCGGCTTTTCGCATGTTAAATGTCGCGCCAATTTTCACAATCGTGATCCAGATTTCGAATCCAAGTTAATCTCGATGCCGGTTTAGCCGTTTAAGCCGGTTAAAAGAGTTAAATTAGCTCGTTGAAATACCATCCTTTTCGTTTATCCATCGCTACTTCCACATTTATACCTTTGCGCGTTGTATTATTATTCACGCGTTTTGTATTTTTCCTAAAACACTTGTGTTTTATACTTACGCAACGCCACTTGTATTAAAAGTATACAACAGAAATAATGATGATACGTCAGTTTCTCGTATGTAAGATAATGGATGTTCTTTGAACGAGCAATCTGTTTTAAACTGGCCTTGGCAATGAAATTCAACAAGCTAGGATTCTAAAGCATGCTAAAAATTCCAAGTTCGAAAATTTATTAACGAGCATGCGTCGTGTAATTTCGGACGTATGCTTAAACATGTTAAAGTCGAATCGATCGACTAGAAGTTTTTCAACCTTTTATCCAAAGTAAATTCGTCGCAGTGTGCGCGAATACTTTCCACGTCCATCTTCTTTGATAAAAGTAACAAAAATGTTCAAAGATCGTGTTAAAATCGTCGAATCGAAAAAAGGTGAGATCAAAATGAGAAAAAAAATACAGCTCGTTGGAAGCTGCACAAAATTTCTATTAACACATTGCGTACCGCACTCGGCGCGCCCAACCTGCTTCCAGGGCCCGCACATTTTTGGAGCAACAGGGAAACGATGCATGTATGCACTTCTTTAATTCACATTGATAAAATATTCTTAAATATTACTATATAGTAATATTTAAGAATATTTTTTTATAGTAATATTTAATAAATAAATAAAAATAAATATTACTATATATTTTTTTATAGTAATATTTAAGAATCTATTTATTATGTATTTCAGATTTTAACTATTATTTATTTTATATTTATATTAACACGTTGAGGATGATATGCTCTGATAAACATGTAGCCTGTATTTCCTGGTACTTTTTAATATTAATTAAATGAATTATTTAATATATAATTGAAAGGGTTCAAGAAAATGTATAGCATTTTAACCAGTGTATTATTTTATTAATAATGAAAATTATTAATTATTTTTCATTTTAGAGGATTATAATAAAAGGAGATTATAATAAAATGAAAATACCTCTAGCAACGTTTCTTGGTGTGGTATGTTAAGAAACAATTTCCCTATTTGAAAAATTATATAACATTATAATATATAATTGTATATATATATAATAATGTGTACAATATTATATATATAATGTATATAATATTGCATATATTGTATATAATATTGTATAATATAAATTATATATAACGTTGCCTGGGTCGTGTCCCCTGCAACACAAAACAGCGTTCCCAGTCCGCAACAGTTGAAAAATGAAAGACGCGAATTCGCGTCTCCCGTCCACAATGTGTTAAAAAGAAATTACTTCCGTAACTTCGTTTCGACCCCATTCAGCTAGTTTTTAGCAATGAAGGCTCCTCCGGGGTCATTCATTTCGCGTTCATTGACTGATCGAGTACAGCGTCTCTCCCCACCAATTCTTGGAATTAGGATTATCTCGATCTACGTTGCCTTATCGTGCGTGAAACGCAACGCAGTACGAAGCCAGCGATACCTATATTTCGGTACAAACGTTTCTCAGAAGTCTTGCCCCTCATATTTATTTCCACTTTCGGTCCTGACTTTGAACGCTTAAGCGAGGACTATATTTATTGCGCGACGCGTGCTGCGTTCGAGCAGTTTTGACGAGAGGCCGATGTCGCGAGGTCGTCCACAGTGGGGCGCCACATTCTCGATTCATAAGGTTGAACGTCGCGACGACGAGAATAGAAAAGGAACGGGCGCGGATCCAGAGAGCACTGACCCAGTATGTTCGTCCGTCGTCGATTTCACTGTTGTGTTCCGTTTGCGACGAACGCGGCGTGCAACAGCAAGAAACCATCGTGTCCCGACGATATATTTCATTATGCCTATTGCGTCGTATGTGGCGTCTGCTCTCCGATTGTTCGTCGATTTTAACTTTGTTTTCGACCCTCGGTAATTAATACGCGACGACATGTCTGGACGTGTTAGGTGCGTGCCACGCTTCTTATGTTGCCCGACCTAACCTCGAAATTTAAGTGCATCGAGCTACGTGACGAGGTAACGCATACTGTTTCCTTCTGTTTGTTCTCTTTATTCTATACTCGAGCTTTATTCTATATTCTGCGTGTGTGTTGTATGATGCTGATTAATCTTACACGATATATGTATATAGATGAGAGATAAATTGGCGAAACAATAATGTCAGCAGAAATATTTTCATTCGATCGAAATACCGAATAATATCACAGGCTTCTCCAAAATTCATTTTTTACGATGTGTGTACATTAAGTAACAAAATTCCAAATCTCAGAATTGTTTGATAGCGATTAAAAAGCAAATTTTATCTGTATAATATTGTACAGATATATCGCGGAGATATGTGAAAAACGTAACGAGCAGTTCAACTCGCTTCGCCAAAGTGTCACCATGACTTGTGGGTAAATACACGTGCAAGTTTCAAAGTTTCCTTGTCGTGTCCTCGGTGTTATCGTATAATTTACAAAACCGACCTGATATCGCGTATTTTCTCTCTTTTCACCTCGTTTTATTATTCTGTTACTTTGCAAAATTACACGTTGCCGCAACGTTCAGCCTATTTGAGCTGGCAACTGATTGCGGACCATAACGAGCGACCAAACGTCGTATACAATAATTCGTCGCTTTCTTTTTGAATATACTCGTCGGTATATGACATCACCGGATAGAAATGATTGAGAAGTGGTAAATTTATTATTTGTTTTGCCAATTTTGTTATATACTTAAAACTGAGAAAATATTACAATTTTGGAACAAAGAAGAATTCTCGACCTGCTTTCTCCTTTGTTCTTATTCTTTCCTGTATTTCCTTCCATTCTCACTTTTTTCCTCTGCCGCGACACACGCTTTCACACAAGCGCCCGCGTAACACCTGAGTTATTATTTTTTTTTTTTTTTTTTACCGCGCATCCAAGAAAATTTATGCACCGCCGCGGTACGTTTCATCTCGCGTCCCGCTACCAGGAATTCTCTAAGAATCGCGCACCCCCATTCTATTTATCCCTACCTTCTGTATTCATCTCGCGGCACCGACAGATCGTACATTTTCGTCTTTCGTTTCTCCCTTGCATGTAGATTCGCCGCCGGACCCGTCGAGCTTTCACGGAACGGAACCGCAAATTCGTTGGCCAGGCGCCGAGTCGTTTACGGCTCGGCCGCCTCGAATATTTTCTCTTCGTCGATCCTTCATTCCCGTATCTAAGCACGTCACGTTGCGTCGTTCTCCGATACGACGGTATGACGCGCGAGCGTGACGCGATTTCTCATGGAAGAAAGTCGAACGTGACAGACGCTTCGTTGACGCTACATGTGCTACCAGTGTTTCACACGCAATTTGCGAACGAATCGTGAAAATTTCGTTTGTCGATGGTTGTGACTAGTTTCTTGAATCCCGAGTAACAATATAGCTGGTGGGTAACGTTAACGTCGATGAATCACTTGGCGGAGGCACGTTCGAGCGAAAGCGCGAATCCTTTGCTTCTTCACTGTAAGGTCACTCATTAGCGCGAATAACGTCATATTTCTGTAGTCACTAACGACACGTCTGACACGTGATATTTCAGCTAGTTGGTAACTTCTACGAATGTTCAAATGCTTATAAACATTTAAAAATGCAAGCATTTACGAACAAATTTTATTTAATTAGTTTCTTCCAGTGGCGTTTCAATCAAACAGGTATCCAATTTCCAATCGCGGACAGTATATTGGGAACTGAGATATACTTTTGGGTTTCGAAGAAGCGAAATGGTCACTTTGAAAAATTGTTCGAATCTTTGAATAAAGCGAGAGAGAGATTCATAGTACTCTTCCTCTTTCTTTTTCGCAAGAACGTATGATGTACGACGTACTGAAACGGTCTTTCTGTTTGGTGTTTCAGGTGAATACCAGAAACGAGTGGGCATCGTTATGCGAACAATTCCATCTACCCAACGGCTGCGTGAACAGCGGGGTTGGCCTTAAACAAATTTACCTTAGGTAAGTGGCTGAGACACGTTGCTACCATCGATCACTTTATCTTAGAATCATCTCCGGCTCGTACATCATGCACAAAGCAAAGTGAATCGCGAGGTGGTATATTTGCATCCAAATATATTCTTGGATTTTAGTGTATACTGCATTTGTGCCTGAGAGCTAAGTTGGGATTTGTGCTTATAAGAAAGAATTGATAGGAAACGACTATTAGTGATTTCTATAAGCAAGCAGTGTTCAAGTATTCCATTTAGCTCTTTTTCATTCTACAATATTCAGCTTTGATTCGCCAATTGGAAAAATTTTTGTCGTAGAAACAGGATAAATAATATACATTATTTTGTAAGGTTTAAAATTATTGTAATTAAGTAGGATCATAGAATGAATGTCTAGAACTATTCGGTAGCAAAACTGAGAAAGAATCAAGTCCGTGTCTCTATAACTAAATACAACAAATGACAGACATAATTAACCCTCAGTTACTGGCTATTTGAACAACAACAACAACAGCTGGGTCAAATGGTTAATCGTGTTGTGACGAAAGTTTCGTAATAAATTTCGCTGTCCATTACCATCTTAACATTATCTATTTCAATTTCTTATTTAACAAAAAGCAAGCAGATGAAAATGATCCGACGGTTAATAAATTCGCCAAAGATTGAAGATTCACGTCTGTATGGAAATTGTCTTTCTTCTTGAGGAAACAGCATACAGAGATTGGATGTTACGAGCAACGGCGCAACGTAACAATTATTTTGAGTTTCTTCAGTGTTGCGACGTTCGCCCTCAAGAAGCCTGGTGCGAGCGAAAAATGAGGTTTGGGCTGGAAATTTTGATTTGGGAGGAGAGTCGCGTCGATCGTCACAGTGAGGCACGATGCTCCATTATGTCTGGCAGTCCGCGAGCGTCTACGAGAGAGTAGGAGAGCGGCGACGTTTTGCCGTACTGTCGGCAACCGCGTATCGGGGCACACTCTGCTACCTAACGCCCCACCACCGCCGGCATTTTCCGTATCGTATAGTACGTACGTTCGTTCGTTCGCTCATTCATTCATACTGGCCTCGCTGACGAGAGCCACGTGGTTCCTGAGTCGGTGTCCTCTCTCTCTCTCTCTCTCTCTCTCTCTCTGCAACCTTGTTACCACCGTGCGCCGCTTGCAAACAAGGACGCCGGTCGATTCTGTCGCTTCTTCGCCGGCTCTTTTGGCGGCCACTCTCCCTGTTGACTTCACGCGATCGCGAGGCTCGCAGCTCTCAGCTTGACCCCAACGGCAACGATAGATTTTCTATATTTAGATATTAAAAAAGTGAGACAGCTTTTCGTTGCACTGATGCTCTGCTATTAGCGATCGTCGGCATCAACACATTGGCGCCGTGATTGGAGCTCTCGGAGAGAAAGTGGCACAAAAGACCCACTGTCTCTGACTTGTCTCCGCGCTTGATGCGAAACTGCGTTGCGAATTACTTGTACGTTCAAGAATTGAAACTAGGAAGTACGTGCAGGAATTGTTACTAGGAAGAGAAGTTTGTACTTCTTCCAGGGAAACGTAAGTTCCATGTATTGTTTCTTGGTAAAAGAATGCATTTGTATTGTTCTTCCATCGAGTCCTTTATTTGAATAAATATTTGATTACCCGCGCGAAAGCACCGCCGTTCCACCTCTGTTCCTGCTGCAGTTGCAGTTCACTCTACATAGAGACATCTGTTCTCAGACTTTCGCAACTTGATTCTTTTATTACTTCTATTCAACTCCCCTATCTGAGACATGGATCTCTAGGTCTGCAACAATTGATCTCTCAAGAGGATGATGTAAATTATCTAAAAGGCGTGTGATGATAAATATTCGCACAAGTTACTGCATAGATGTAGATTGTCCTATCAGCAGGAAGAAATAAATCGCACGGTTCTGAATAATTCTCGAGGAAGATGTAATCTTTCAACGTGAATTAAAGTTACGCAACTGCTAACTGTGTTCAAGCAATTCGAGAGTGTACAACAGTAGTTCCACTCTCTACTGGTTGGCAGTTGTCAACCGTAGCAACACTATCTTCGAGAAACTGTAAAATGAAATTGTGAAAGAATAAAGTCTGGAGAGAAAACGTTACCGATTTGTATGTAACACGGCACGTTTAACACATTCGGAGCAAACTATCCTAATTGTATGTAACAAAGCCGCTGTGTCGGGCAACACCTACCTACAAACAAGCAAGTACTTGTTCTCTTCGTTTTGCATTTGTAAACACAGCGTTTTCTTGGCACCCACGCCGAGATTCATCGTTATACATAGAGCACGATTTCTACGATCCCGAAGTTCGGTGCTTTTGCAATAAATATTTTATTACGGTTTTTAAACGCGGTGAGCAGTGCAGCGTGTTACATCGAATATTATATTTAATCTTTTACCGACTGGAATTACGGTAACACGAGCTAGAATTTGTAACCCGCGTAAGAGTATGTTAAGAGTCAGTAAAATGGTGCCATAGAATCTTACGAGCACACTTGTATTATTATTTTATGATATATACATGGTAGATTATTATGATTATGTGGAATGAAGTACCATGTAGTGTGTATGGATAAATATATAATTGCAACATCAATCGTAGAATTATCAGTGTGCAACGTTTACTTAAATATATGATGATTCTAATTAAAGTGGTATAATGGTAGTAAATAGATATAATCATGTTTTCGTTTCATAATACAATAAATAAAAGTGATGACAAACCATGTAACTGCCGAAACCGAAAGATCCGAAGCTGGAAAGTATCATGATGTTAGTGTTAACGCGTTAATTGTCGCATCAGCTATAAATGTTCATAAAGTTGACTTAAAGTTGGCGGTGTGTATGCGTGCTCGACGTACAGTTCGAACAGCGTAATCCATAATACGTGTATGTAGTTTCAAGGATGAATTAAACATCATTTACCTCTGTGTTCTAATAGTTCTTGTTACAAACTAGATTCCACAAACTGTGATCCACAAGAAATGTTTATAAGAATTTCCGTACAAAAATACAATAACGTGCTATTTTTATAGATCGATTACAGGTATTCAGAAAGAAGTGTAAAGATCTGTCATAGCATCGAAAGAAATCTTGTAATGTATACTTAAGAATTGTACAATGATGTTGATTACCTATATCCAACGAAAAATGTGTATAATTCTGCTGTACCTGCAATGTTAGAAACCAGGTTTTCATCATTAAATTAGTCACTACAATTATTTTCATTATAATACATTTTTGTTTTCAGCGTTTTATAATACATATGTAATAAATACGTACTAATTAATAAATTAATTAACGCTGTGAGATTGATAAAGGTACACATAACTGTTGCGATTGATATAAAAATATGTACATCTCTTCGTGAAGTGTAATTCTTTCTGACGTAAAATTACAAAATTCAATTCATCGTTGTACAAAACTTTAAACGAACTTCTTGGTCAAGTGTTCCTATTACAAATGAATCTTTTTGTCACTCGAAACAACGTGTTGGGTTAAGTTATGCGAACGTTACAATTCATATTTTTCTGTTAACGACAGACAACCAGTTTTAGCCTTACTCCTTTTCAAGTGGCTTTCAGTTTTACGGAAGGGAGGAAATTACAAGCTGTGAAAGTGCTAATTAATTCTACCATCACGTTGACCACCACGTTCCCTGTGACACATTAGTAGAGCAAGTGGTGGCAATTGCTAATCTTCACGATCAAAGTATCAATTTTTTTTTTTTTTTTTTTTTTTTTAGATACTTTTATCTCATCTTTGTGAAAAATATCATGTTTCATCGATATTAGTGGTGAAAAGAACTTGCATATTTCGAGACGAATGTCACATTTATGTGAAATCATCTGTTACATGAGTGGATTAATGGCTAAATATTGACAAATAGAATGAAGAAAAGAAGAGTAATTCCTAACTGGTAGCGTTGGGCTATCAAGAGCCATTGATACCTTAATCGTGGAGAGAGTAAAATAAAAATAATGTTAAATAATTTTAATAATTTATCTCAATAATGCTATTTGAGACAGAAAAAGGAAAGCAAGAGCAAAGCAGAAGGCAAAGAAAGAATAAAAAGAATAAAAGGAAGAGGACAAGATTAAAATCATCATCATTTCCTCGTTCATTCGACGAATCTCAAAACTTTGCACTCTCTGACTACGAGGATTCTCGAAATCCTGGAAACTCTCGGGAACGCGGGGTCACGTGTGTTCACAACGGCGCGAGATCCAAACCCGAGGCGATTCATTCATAGTTGATCGACGCAGAATGTGGCGAACACGTGACTGCTGCCGGATCCTACAGTCACCAAGAGTTCACCAGTGCCACCAACAGTAGCAGCACCAGTAGCACGCTGTAGCAGACGTTTCCTACTACATAATACTCGCGATCTATACGGCACACGAAGTACGGAGTCTACGGACACGGGGGCCAGAGTCGGCCAGTAGTCAAAGTGTCTATACTCAGTCTGCACCGAGCAACGGCCAATCAGGCTCTGACTGGGTGCTCCAACGCCTGCACCTTTCCGTACTCTACGTTGGTGCATGAATGGATCCACTACACCTACCCCCACTATTTTCTTTCGCCCACCCACGACTACATCTACTCTCCTCTTCTCTCTTCTTACCTCCCCCCCCCTCTTTATATCCCCTCTCTACCCCCCTCCCCCTTCTCTCCCTCTCTCTTCCTTTTATCGTTATTATTATTATCATCATTCTCGGGTAATTCTAACTTCACTGTGCAAGACTGTTTTCGTCCCACATGCGAAGTTAGTCTTCTTTGTTGCTGGTCGTGGTTAGTTCGCTTGGTTCCGCGCTGGTTCGTGGTTACCCTGTACACGAAACGTGCGTTCTACGATTCTGCTGTGAAGAGAATACCTGTGCTATCAACAATAGATCGGTACACGTGCCACAAATAGGAGAAAGCAACTGTGAGGTTATAATTCTCCTAAGTGCATTGTGCGTCCGTTGCGAAAAGATAGTAATTGCGATTAGCTAGCAACGAAAACAAGAGTACGTAATAAGTTGTAGAATCATGTTACCGCAAAATAGACTGCGAATGTTTATATATACATTACGTGTCATTTAAAGAAATGAAATCGGAAACTCTCCTTTCATTTGCATACATATATCATGAGATGTGCTCTATTTTAAGTGTTTCCACTATATGCATTTCGTGAATTTTTGTATTCTTAAAATTCTTACGAAAAAAAAAAAACATCCGCGATATGAAAAACAGTGCCAATCAGTACACGCTCTGGTGCAATTTTATTTCTCAAGATTTGCGTCTTGCTTTACATTTTACTAACATGTGTCAAAAGTCAACAGTTCGGAATATCTATAGAGGTTGAGAGAAATTCTTGTTCGTATATGGATTTCAAGCATTCGACGTAAAACTGAACGAAGAAGCTGACGAAATACACGAAGTGAATGAACGAAGATGGAATGGATGTTGTCAAAGGCAATACGTTCGAGTCATATTTTCTCGAACCATTAGCATTCGTTAAACACATGCACAAAGCATCACGTACATTTGTATTCCGTTACTCGTCTTTTGTGTCCGTAAAATCAGCTATAGAGAAAGAATCGTCGAGATAGCGTGTCTGTGTCTTCTGTCGAAGAACAACGGAGGGAGCATATTTATTCTAATAATCGATGCTTCCATGATATACTAATAATTGAGATATTTTCAGACAGATATAATTATTTTACACATAGGGTATCTTTGACGTGAAGAAAGTAGACAGTAATTTATTAACACAACATATTTGACTACAGAATATAATCTAGAAATTATATAATATAATAGAGAATATTTCAAAATAATAATAATCTTATGATTGAATCAGTTATTGTATTGTAACAGAGTTGTTTTGTTATTTCAGGTATTTGGACAGGTATGAGAAGGTACACTTCTTAGGAGAGGATGGCCAACAAGCTGACGACGATGACGAAGATTCCAGACACAGAAAGTGGTCTGCTAGGGCATTACACTCCGTTCCTCTTACTTATAATCATCATCAACACAATGTCGCAGGTAATCTCATACTTCTAACATATAGTCCATTCAACAAGCTGAGTCAGCGAAGGCTAAGAAACAGATACTTACGTAATTGGGACAAAAGTATGTCTGTCACTTTGCTTCAGATATAGTAACACTTACAATATAAAACAAAATATAATAATGCAGTATGGAACAAAATCGGAACCCACTGAACATTTTTGTTTGTTTCTGAATATATATAGTACAATACTTCACGTACCCTACGTATTGACTTATAATGGGGAATACATAGTTAATTATACTGAAAATCGTACATTTTTTATTAATTGCTAAGAAAGTGCTTACAGAAGCACAAGTGTAAAACTTCTAATCTCAAACGTTAAAGTAAGCTCTAGCGATGATCTATAAAAATCCGCTTCTGAATCTTCGTTCATTAGCCAAATAGGAGTTCCTTGCATTTATTGCTTGGGTTATATATTTTGTTTACCTCTTTAAAAATACAATAATAATTCTTTACAGTAACACTTACAATATAAAACAAAATATAATAATGCAGTATGGAACAAAATCATAACCCACTGGACATTTTTGTTTGTTTCTGAATGTGTATAGTACAATACTTCATGCACTCTACATATTGATTTATAATGGGGAATACATAGTTAATTATAATGAAAATCGTACATTTTTTATTAATTGCTAAGTGCTTACAGAAGCACAAGTGTAAAATTTTTACTCTCAAACATTAAAATAAGCGTTAACGATGATCTATAAAAATCCGCTTCTGAATCTTAGTTCATTAGCCAAATAGGAGTTCTTTGCATTTATTTCTTGGGTTATATATTTTGTTTACCTCTTTAAAAATACAATAATAATTCTTTAAAAACACAGTATCTCGTGTGATTCTCCGTTTCTTATTCTCATATGATTTCGTTATCGCACAACGCGTCAAATTTCTAAAAAGTCATGCTGCGCTTTCCAATCACATTTTTGCGAGCGCGAAGCTCGCAGCGTCTGCCAGATCGACCGCTGAATTTGCGATCGTTGCCGATAAACCGTTTTTGCCAACTTACGCCACCGTATTCGTCGCGCTGCATTTCACATGCACGTCCCACATGCTCCAACGACTTTCAAATGCGTATTCTACCGTGCATTTTTCCTCTATTTTCCTCGCTCTTTCCCGCTATCATCGACACATACACGAGCCCAAAAACATAAATACATCACGCGAACACGTGTGCGCGGGACGTGTATACGTGCCAGGTGCCACGGTTCAATAATTCGCCACGTTAGCAATTTCCGTTTGTCAGAACTTTTTCGTCCGACGTTCAGATCCGTTCGGGTTGACAAAAACCTGCCGATGTGCCAGGCAGCAATGCGTTAACAGTATTACACGCTCGGCGAGTACGTTTCAGATGCACCACATACCGGTTGTCCCCAAGAAAGAAGCACGGTTAGAGGTATATTCGTGCCTATTACTTTACTGTAACAACAACTTTTGCATTTGCAGCTGGATATCGAAAATTTTCTCTCTAGGACAACTAAAAAAATGCATGCGTCTAAACTAGAAAGAATTGTACGAGATGCGCCAAAAAAACGATGGAAAAGATATTCAATTCAAGATTATATTTTACTGAGAGATACTCCGATATGATTTCTTGCCCTTCGCTGAGCTGGTGTTTTATATATATTCGTTTAATCGAAGTAGGATTTTTAGAGAACTGTCTCTGATATTCGATCTCGTCTCCGGCATTCGCTTGTAAATTTCCCGTCGGGCGAAAAAAAAATGCTTCCGCGTGCAATTACATCCTGGCCCAATTAGTTCCAAGCGCGCGCGTTATCGTTCCGCGTTTCTCGGTAATTCGTTAACGACGATTTACGTTTCGCCGTTAATCTCGGTCGAAATAATGTTGCCTCTGGGGAGGGAGAATTGAAAGAAGAGAAAAAATTGTGTGGATGGAAAGACGGGAAAGAGAGAGTTAGAGCAGAGTCGTTGAAAGGCATGGCGCAGCGCGATGCAGCGGTGCAGCGGTGGCGGTAGAGGCGGCTCAAGTGCATCTACGAACGCGCGAACACGCGAGCGCAAAGGGTTCCAGAGAACCGAGAAGCCGAGCCCGTGGTATGGAAACAGGTGAAAGCTCCGAAACTCGTTTCATAAAAAAGCGCGTCGGTTAAGTGTGTTGCGAGCACATGTGCGCTCGCGCCATAAACGCACTGTATGCAGCATGCCGAGGCGGCAACGGGTTATTGACGTGCTTCTGTGGAGCTGTGTCGGCCGAGAGAGGGATATATAGAGAGCCAGTCTGGCTGGGAACAAATGCGTACGTGTACACGATACAGATGTATATAGATATATATATGTGCATCATGTGTACACACATATATATATGTGCATATACTATATATATATATATATATATATATATATATATATATATATATACACGTATACATATAGGTTGATGATGGGGCTTCGTGTGTCAGGGAGTGAGAGTAGAACGCGCACAACGTGTGCAAGATAATTTAATGGGCAATAATCATGACACACATAGAACCGCGCACACCTCCGTGGCCGTGCTCCGACTGTCGGAACGCGGGTCTATATTTTCTGCGCCTGCGTACGATCGACTATCAGCTTCGCACCGAACTGCTCGTCGTCACCCCACTTTTAACCCTCTTCTCGTCTCTTCGTTGCTCGTTCGTTTTCCTTTGCTGTCTTCCCACTACTTTTCGAGTACGACACGACGGACTGGGGAACGGTTGGATACCGAAACGCGTTCGGTAACTTGGGACTTTCGGCCGTTTCGGCGATGTCGAAACCGAATTCGCGGAAACTCGGCATTTCACTCGACCGCTAACAAACGATGACACCCGGTGGTTGCACGCTCGGAGACGTCGACTTTCCCACCACCGTAATCGACATGATTTTTTTTTATTAGACAGGAAAGCAGCCTTTTGAGCTACTGTTGTACAATTTTCAAAGATCCATTAGAAGATAAATAAATGCAATGCAAAAATAATACTATGTACTAATGAGTTATTTATATTAAAAAAAAATTTGAAGTATCATTAATTTATTGGATAATGTTCGATGTTCCAGGATCCTTTTGGACAAGTTTCGTCATAATCTGAGAAACAATATAATTATAGAAAACCGTAGAAAAAATTTTGCGACAACGTTAATAAATTCTGTGGAAATACATACTGTAAATTAGCAAATTCTCATAGTAATAAGTTCAATGTTTTTGGTACATTCTTTGAAATGAAATGTTAGTAGTGAAAAATGTTTCATAATTTTTTTTGTAAGTATGCCGTATCTAAGATAATTCTTCCTAAGTTGAAAAAGGACAGTCTGTGTTGCCGTATTTGGATATCACGTTTCAAAAGTTAGGCACTTTCTACGTTGTCTATAGATTTTCCCAGGAAAGAAGCGATAGGACGAGTAGTGACAAAGTCATTTTGGCATTAAGTTAATTAAGTACTGTTAAAGTAGTCGTCACTTTTATAATCATCATGATGCGTGATTTCGCGATGAAATAATGGGCGTGCACCCACAAAATCGATGCCGCTCGTTTAAGGAGCGTGTAGTATATCTGTGCAAAGTCGTCCTATCTTATTCGCGCGCGCTGCATGCGCGCGTTCATGCGTAACATTATATCGAGGCGTCGAAGTTGCGTGGCGCGCGCGCTAAACCATTTGTTAAGCATTCGCTACGCGTAGTCATTGAATTGAACTTCAACGATGTCACTGCCTAAGTTCGCCAACGTTCCCGACTCGTGCTTCCGTTTCTTCTGCGTCGAGTTAATTCGTTGTCGAACAGATGCGAACGGATGACATGTATGAAAAATATATCCATCGAAGGAACATTATTTCAGATAATTACTTCGCACAATAATTCTTTACTGATCTGATCCGTTTTAAACGAAATAATTTTGAAATTAGTCGGCACCTAAACGTTCGGCTGAGCAAACACAATTAATAAAACGATACATTCAATTTAACGAGTAATTAGTTGCTAGCAAGAGAATAAAACTGTGCATTACGCCAAAATGTTAAAGAGGCTGCATGCACGATGGATTTGCGATTTAATACTACGGAGGATTTTTGAAAACGTACACTTGACTCGAGCAAGGTAGTAATAAATGGTAGTGAAAAAAATATTCCTGGATTATAAGACGTAGAGACGCGTTAGTATATTTAAAGCTCGATAAATTAAGTTAGTACCGCGCAGCGAAATTTATATTTACAAAGCTAGAAAGTGAAATGTCAGTTCCATTGTCAGTTAGTTTGTACGTATGCCTCGCGTTAAAATTCATCGCGTTGAGCTTAGATTTCCCCCGCTGAAATCTACGTTTAATTTCATTGCGAGACCCAGTGTAGTCGCAGCTGACTAATCGGAATTACCCTAACGAGATGTAATCGAGTTCGTTTCATTTGTCCGGTTAGTTGCTTCGATCTCGTCGGATTCGAGTACGTGCATATTTGGAGGAGGCGAAGGAAAATTCCGGAAAATAAAAAAAATAAAAAAAATGAAACAAACATCTCCGGATCGAAAGGGAGATACAAAAACAAACGAGAGAGAGAGAGAGAGAGAGAGAGAGAGAGAGAGAGAGAGAGAGAGAGAGACGTGGCGGGAGCGAGAAAAACCGGGGTGTGATAAAGAAGCGTAGACAGAGAGGGAGACACGATGCGAGAGTCACAATCAATAAGCGTTTGCGGGGATAGGTGTTCCGTGAGTCCTCGATCCTCCCGGCGTAATACAGCGTTCTCCACGCTTGCGCGATGCTCCGTAGCTTCCGATTTTAACCCCCACCGACTCTTTTCAGCTTTGCGCGTTTGCCCCCACTTCCTCCTCGTCTTTCTCTGCCTTCGTTTCACTTGGTGGTTCTCTCCGGTTGCTACGTCGCCTGAATTCTAGCGTCATCCAGGTGAACCAGCTACCACTCTCCCACGATTGGTGACGTCTAGAGAGTCTAGACCGCGTGCCATCGATACATACCAGATGCCCTGCTCCATTACGTTCACCCACCCAG